GACCCTGCCCCCCCTGAGTGAACACCAGCCCCCCCACCCAAATCCTCCCTGTTAATCCTGCCTTGACCCCATAAACCCACCTGCTCCCCCCATGTCCTCCCACAGTCCCCCCTTTTCTCCCCCAGCCTCCCCCTCGATCCCAGAAATGCCTGAGGCTGGAAGGCAACTCTTGGATCACCTGGACCAACCCAGATGCCCCTTCCCCTGACACATGTTCCTGGAGAAGACAAATCACTGCCCAGCCTTGCACCGTGTCCTCCAACCTCTTGCCCCTACCCCTACAACCAGGGTTTTCCAAAGGAGTCTGGTCACCCCAGGACTTGTGACCCACCATTCCCAAGCTCAGATTCACCCCAAAGCCCCCACTGACCCACCAGTCCTGTAGGATACAGCCCAGCTCCCCCCCTGCCTGTCCTTGTGTCCCTCACTTGCCACACGCACGAGAAGCTGCTAAAAACGTCTCCATAACGTGTGGTCTCATTCCTCAACCTTCTCCAAACTCAGGTTGAGAGAGTATTTTGTCCTGTTCCACAGCTACTTCTCCAGGATTTCTGCCATGGAGGAGCCAAGCAAGCCCTGGGCATCGATCCAAAGGCTCTTGATTTCATGATCTCCAGGAAACTCCTCCAAATGGGGACATCAGGACCAAGAGGCAGCTCTGAGGCAGCCAGAGCACGAAGCTATGTGCTCTGACAGGCCAGATGACCTGAGCTGTGCTAACAAGGGGGTGGGTTTCCAGGTGGGAAGGGCTGTGATTGCCCAGGATGGGGAGGGAGAGAAGAAAGAGCAAAACCCCGTTGGCCAGGGTGGTCCCTAAAGGGATGGAGACACCCAAAAGAGGAGCCACAGGCCTCTGAGGATGCATCCCAGCTGGAGCAGGAGCCATGGACTGGGAATAGGGAGAAGGGGCCAGGGCAGCAATGGTCCATCAGGGTGTCACAGGGGTGCTGGGGTTGGCCAGACACCAGGCTCAGCTCCTGCAAGACAACACCAACCATGATGGTGGCACCTCCATGAGGACCCTGCCTGTGGTGCTCTGCAGTGTGACCTGCACCTACTGAGCTCCAGAGAGAGCACAAAGGAGCCACTGCACGTTCTGCTAGCCCTGCTCCTCCTGTAAGCTGAGAAGAGAGCTCAGGGCCACCAGTCTTGCAAGTCACGTGGGGATCAGGTAACACTGGTGCAAACCTGGTCCTCTACAGGCTCCCAGCCTGCCTGGAGGCTGCAGCCTGGCAGCACGACCTGCTCCTCCAGGGGGGATAGATTCCTCCCCTACTCATCTCAGCAGCAGTGTTTGGCAGCAGGATGAAACCAAGAGATGGGATCAGTATCTCAGGGAGGACCGTGTGTCCTCCAAAACTATGTGATAACCCAGATATTCCTCGATTACTTCTGCCAGGGAGGTGGAATGTGACTAACAAAGGCTCCTCCTTCCCCAAAATACCTTTGGGATGCCTGAGGGATGAGTTCCCTGGGGGTCACATGGGGCTCCTGGCAGTTTTGGCTGCCTGCAGGCCATGGATGGGAACCAGGAGTCCCTCCCACTCCCACAAGCAGCTTGGACTTCCCTGGACTTGCCAAGTGGGTTACAAACCAGAATATTTTCTGCAGCTGCTCTGGCAAAGGAGAAGACATCCCTCTCCCCAGCACAGCAATGTAAGAAAGACTGTCCATCTGTCCTTCTTGAGCTGCCTTTGGCTCCCTGGTGGGTCTGGCACACAGAGGGGAGGACTGGGGAAACTGATTTCTCCATATATTGACCCACAGGGGTTGTATCATAGAATCATAGGATGGTTTGGGTTGGGAAAGACCTTAAGGATCATCTGGTTCCCACCCCCTGCATGGGTAGGGACACCTCCCACCAGCCCAGGCTGCTCCAAGCCCCATCCAACCTGCCCTTCAACACTGCCAGGGATGGGGCAGCCACAGCTTCCCTGGGCAACCTGGGCCAGGCTCTCACCACCCTCACACCAAAGAATTTCCCCCTAAGATCTCATCTAAATCTCCCCTCTTTCAGTTTGAAACTTCCCCTTTATCCTACCACTACACGCCCTTGCAAAAAGTCTCTCCCCAGCTTTCCTGTGGGCACATTTCATCCTGTCTTGGATGATCTTGACACCTCCTTGATCCCTTGACATCCACACGTCCTTGATGACCACCAGCTCACAAGGGGTCACCTCCAGACTCCCACAGCCACCCACTCTCTGCACCAACTCTCCTCTCTGTGTCCTTCCCACAGGCGATCACGACGTCTAATCTAAACAGAAAAGGCTTTGCTTAAGAAGAAAAGTGATCAATCAATAAAACAAAAAAGCCTTTTTAATCTTTATTTGTTACGAAAAGCAATTTAGAGGGCTCTGAACCCAAAATAAATCAATACCAAACCCCTGGTTCATAAGGAAATGAGCACTCAGACTCATCTCTCGTTCCAACAAGCACCGTCGAAAATGAAACATTTTCCCCAGGAAAAGAACATCAATGAAATGGCTTCACTTGAAGCTTTTGATTTGGACCAAACTTGAGGTTTTTCAACCTGCTGGATGACGTTGAGGTGCTGTTTTCTCCGCTGACTCACAGGATGATTCATAGGTTAAGAGCAAGTGAATCAACGTGGTTTCTCATCCAGCCTTATCTGGGCCACGTTACCGTAGCGTGTTGGCATCTTGTTTATTCACACAGTGTTGGCAAGACCACCCCACATTGAGCCAACCCAAGCATGGAAACCCTCTGCTTGCCTGCTGAGGATGACAAAGATATCATGGTTGCTCAAGTCCAAAGTCAACGAGTCTCCCTCAGGGACCAGGAGGTGATGGCTTTGTTACCCACCGTGATGCCTTCACTTGTGGATGCACAATGGGGAGGGAGAAGCTGCTCCCACAGGGTCATCCCACCAGCCAGGGTGAGGATGGGGTGTCTCAGCCCCCTGACTTCAGGGTGAGGATGGGGTGTCTCAGCCCCCTGACTTCGGGGTGAGGATGGGGTGTCTCAGCCCCCTGACTTCGGGGTGAGGGGCTGAAAAAGAGTTTGGAGTTGGAAACAAAACGAATGTCCATGGGTGTAATCGCTCCACCTCGTTATGAAAACAAAGACCAGGCTGAGTGGGCTGCTCCTGAAGGCACCAGGTGGGTTGAACATCCAAATTTAAATATCAACACATTTTTTGGCCTGGAACTCGAAATGTTGCAGGATTTAGCTGAAATCCTGGGTGATTTGTTTTCCAGCGAGTTTCTCTTCTCTACAGGAAGGAGATACTTTTTATAAGTTGGTTTTGACCCAGATTTCCAGCCCACCACACCATTGCTATGTCATCTTCCTGATCTTCCAGCTGAAACACAGCTCTAAATAACCATTAAATATTCATTTCTTCCTTAATGGATCCTCCTCAAGCCACTGTTATCCCACCCTTCCCCAAGAAATGCATCATGGCCCTTTCTCAGCTGAGCTTATTGACAGGATAATGTCACAGAGAGAGAAATCTGGCTGTGCCCCCCAAAAGCCTCAGGTCCTCCCTCCCCCCAGATTTCCCAGTTTAGGAGGATCTTCCAGGTGGGGTAGGGGAAAAAAAACCTTGTTCCCTGACATGACAGCTGATGTGTTGGTGTGGGAAGGCAGAAGATGCCTCTGACAGCTGAGGCAAATCCTGGGGGCTTTCAGAGCTTAGGAGCAGCCCTAAAACAGGGCTCCAGGATTAGACAGGAGGTGGCCGAGGTCTTCCCACTTGCACATCACAAAGCCAAGTGGACATGCCAGAAGTCAGAATAAATGAAGGTGGTAACACCCTCTGTGCTCATCCCCTCTTGCCCCTGTCCCCATGAATATCTCTGGAAAGCCCAGTGGGCTCTTTGCACCCCAGCAGGGCTGTGAAAATACCTGGGTGGGATGTCACATGCTGGTGGCCACCACTGGTCACCATCAGGAAGTCCCCAGCACAAGCAACGTGCTCCTCTGGGGCAGAGGACAGAGCCAGGCTCCAAGGGATGGGATCATGGGCATCAACAGGGAGCTGGCACCCACAGCCTGCATCAGGGTGGGGAAGGGGACACACAGGATTGGCAGGGTCCCTGTTGCCACCCCTCAGTGGGGCAGGTTCAGAGCTACACAATGGGAGAGAGCAGGAGCCTTCCCCACCTCCCTGTGGACACATCCAGGCTTGCACACATGGTGTGGACCACGAGTCCACTGGAGACAAACCAAATGGCCAGAAAACTGCCCCAGACCCTCTGGACTTCACCAGAAAGGAGCTGCCTTTGGGGACAACAATGCTGGTGCAGCTGGACATGCTTCCTGTGTGGGGCTGCCCTGCCTTTCAGCTGCTCCTGCCCTTGCCTGTCCCCTCTCCGGGGGGGTTAGGTCAGACCTCCAGAAAACCAGGGACGTCATATGGAAACCACCCAGCAGCTGCCTGAGAGCACCCACAGGGCTGTGGCTGGGTGCCCTGCCTGCTGCCTCCCCTTCCCCAGCTCCCAGCAGCATTTCCAGCCTCCCAGTCAGCAGGATATTCCCAGCCTGCTGAGTCAGGCACCCGGGGCAGGTGGGCCAGGACAGGGACAAGTTTTCCAGCTGGTGTGTCTCACACAAGTGGGCACTTAACTTCACCCCAAAGCAATTCCTCTTCTGCCTTTCTGAGGCCACATCTGGAGAGCTATGTGCACTTCTGGGCTGCCCAGTTCCTGAAGGACAAGGAGCTACTGGAGAGGGTCCAGGGCAGGGCCAGCAAGTGCTGAGGGGACTGGAGCACCTGCCTGTGAGGAAAGGCTGGGAGAGCTGGGGCTGTTCAGCTGGAGAGGAGGAGACTGAGGGGGGATCTCATCAACCCTCCTCAATATCTCCAGGGGTGTCAGCAGGATGGGGCCAGACTCTTCCCAGCAGTGCCCAGTGACAGGACAAGGGGCAATGGGCACAAACTGGAACATGGAAAGTTCCATCTGAACATGAGGAGGAACTTGTTGGCTGTGAGGGTGACAGAGCCCTGGGACAGGCTGCCCAGGGAGGTGCTGGAGTCTCCTTCTCTGGAGACATCCCAGCCCCTCTGGATGTGTTCCTGTGGGATCTGCTGTAGGTGACCCTGCTCTAGCATCTGCACCCAGGGCCAGCTGGCACAGGCTGTGACAGGTTGGCAGAAGCCCTCACACACCTTGGCACCACACTAGTCACCTCCCCTGTCTCCAGCAGCCAATCCAGGCCATTGCTCTGCCATTGGTGGGGTTTTTCTTTCCAACCCTGTCCTACCCCTCAGGCTGCCAGGAGGAGCTGACCTAGGCCAGGCAGGCAGAGACCCCCTGCCAGCCCCCCTGTCCTCAGCCCTGCTGGGGGTCTCCTCCACCAAGGGCTGGGCACAGCAGCTGGGGGTGCCAAGAAGTCTCTGCCACCACCTGCCCTGCCTGGTCCCACTCTGAACCAGGGAAATCTGCAAAGAGCAACTTGGGTTTTCTCTTCTGCGGGTGCTCCAAGAGCCCCAAACTCTTGCAAGCCCCTTTACTACTTTATTCAGGCCACACACCTGAGTGCTTCTGCCACCGAGCTGGGACAGCCCAGGGGCCAGCAAGTGGGGAGCCAGGAGGTTCTGCAAGAGAAGGAGGAACCAGCTCAGCCCCAGGCTCCACCAGGAAATTTCCTTATAGAATCACACAATCCCAGACTAGTTTGGGTTGGGAAGGACCTTAAAAAATCATCTAGTCCCACCCCCTGCATGGGCAGGGACACCTCCCACCAGCCCAGGCTGCTCCAAGCCCCATCCAACCTGCCCTTCAACACTGCCAGGGATGGGGCAGCCACAGCTTCCCTGGGCAACCAATATCCCGAGGAAGTCACCAAGGCCAGCGTGGTGGTGGCTGCCACCACCAGGGCTGCCTGCACCTGCCATGTCCAAGGAGCTTGCAGGGGACTGTCCCTTCCCAGGATGCTGGGAAGCAAATGCCATCTGGTCCCTTAATGGGACACCCCATCCCAGACCCATCCCACGTCCCTCTCTAACCCAGGCACCTCGGTTTGGGAGCCTCCCTGGAGACTCTGCAGGATCAGAGGGGTTATGAGAGGGGTTGGACCATCCCCAAATCCCAGTGACTTCCTCCAGGTGCCAGTAAAAAGGGAAGACAAACCAGTCTGGGGCTGTCCAGCTGTGGCCCAGCTGCAGCCCTTCCCTGCTGCCACCAGGGAGCATCACGGGGACATCCAGCCAGGCCACCCTCCCCCTGGCTCCAGCTGAAACCCTGTCCTGTGCCAGGCTTTGGGAAAATGCTGTTCCCTTTAACTTGGTCCTTAGTGTCCCTGGTTGTCCCCACAGCCAGATGTGACCCAGCCCTGCTTTGGCTGCAGGGCTCAGCTGCCATGGCCAGGGCACCAGGACCCTGCCCTGCCCCATCCCTGCATCCCATCCAGCCCAGGGTCACAGGCCTGTGCCTTCCCTGGAGGAAGCATCACCCCAAAGCACCTCCAGGGCATCTGGGCCAGGCCATGGGCTCCAGAGACCAAATGGGTTTTGATCTGTTGGCCTAATAACCTGCAAGGAAACGACCATGGAATAGGACACTCCATCCCCCTCCTCCTTGTCCATGTGCAGGACAGGAGGGACACTCTCAGAGTTTTGCAGGAGGTCACCTCCTCCAGCCTGCCATGGCCAAGGGGCAGTGAGGGCCAGGACTGAGGTTGGTGGTGGCTCCTGCCATGAGCTCACATGATGGGCTTGTCCCATCTCCTGGGGGTTATGGAGTGGCAGATCCCAAAGGATCTGGGGACAAGAGGAAGACACAGAGGGATCATAGAATGGTTTGTGTTGGAAGGGACCTTAAAAGATCATCTAGACCCACTCCCTGCATGGGCAGGGACACCTCCCACCAGCCCAGGCTGCTCCAAGCCCCATCCAACATGCCCTTCAACACTGCCAGGGATGGGGCAGCCACACCTTCCCTGGGCAACCTGGGCCAGGCTCTCACCACCCTCACACCAAAGAATTCCCTCCTCATCTCCAACCTCAATCTCCCTCTCCCACTTTTCATCCATCCCCCTCATCCCATCCCTCCCTGCCCTTGTCCCAAGTCCCTCCCCAGCTTTCCTGTCCCGTGGCCCTTAGGAAGGAGCAGGACATCCCCAGGGAGCTGGATGGAGGGACCCACCTCCTGCTCAGCCAACACGCAGACAGAGCCCACACTTCACAGGCTGGAAATACCTCGGGGTCCCCCCAGACCCCTCTGGCAGGAGGTGCCATCCCTGCCTGGCACCTGTAAAGCCCCGGGGGATCCCAGGGGGGTGGCAGAATCCTGCTGGAATTCCAAGGGAACACTCCCCCCCAGCCCTGGCTGCCGCTGGAGGTGAGAAGCTGATTGAATTTCACAACCTCCAAAGCCCTTGAGGAGGTGAACGTGGCCGGGCTGGACACCAGGGCTGGTTATTTTCTGTCCCCAGCAGCGTGACCTGTGTCAGGGCTCCCACCCCCACCCCCATCCCCTGCAGAAGCTAAAAAAACCCACCCTTGGTGATTTTCTT